TGTATGTATGTATTTATGTATGTGTGAGTGTGTGTGTTTATGTGTGTGTACACACACATATATATGCATGTGTATGTGTACCTGTGTGAGCGTGTGCATGCGTGCATATGCGCGCGTGTGCATCTGCATGTGTACGTGTGTGCGTGTACATGTGTACGTGTGTGCGTGTACATGTGTGTGTGCGTATACACATGTGTGGGTGTGCGTGTACACTGCTTATCTGTTTATCCAATAATATACTTTAATCTAATTAACTGTAAAAATGTGTACTATATACACACGTTACAGTACGTATGCATGCACCTTTTTCTCTACGTACACCAGACCTTAACCTATTTCTTCTTCGCCAGAGCAACGCGTTTCAGAGACATCCGATATGGCCATGCGAGCAGCGTTGAAATTTCTTCGAGTAACGCACCTACCTCGAGGAAACAGCCGCCCGCTGACCCCGTCTCGGAAAGCGCGGGCCACAAGAGGCCTGTCTGTAGGCCATGGCAATCCGCACTGCCAATGCACACTGAGCCTATTGGGGTGAGTGTACAGTATGGCACAGGCGTTGCAAAATGCTTAATGGTTAAAACAATACATGCACTAGACATCAAAGGTTTTATAGCACTATGGTAAAGTATTGTGTCGGAAAAGGTAAAGAAGAGTTAAAGATTAGGATGTTTTACATTTCAAAGATTAGGAAACGTTATAGGATAGTATGGTAGTGAAAAATGTAAAACGGGGAGCAAATGAAGCAGAACAAAGATTAGTAAAAGGCGTTACAAAAGCAATGGGAGATAGATCCAAAGTGGTTTTAGGAACTGACTGGTATATCTTGGTAAGAAGGGTAAGGAATACCTTACTGTACTCTAAATGTGCATAGTGGTATGAGCTGACCCCTCCCCATATAGATGCTAAAAGTGAAAAATTCTTGCCCCACAGGAGCATAGCCGGATTTGCCAGTCTGACTGCACTCCTAGGTTTTGCACTTTCTCAAGCTGGCAGTAATGGAGGTGGAGACGCAAGTGGAGATGGCACCAGAACTGTTATCAGCATTTCAAGTAACGTGATTTCATTCTCAATGTTCTTTTTCTGTTTGATGAGGTGTCTACAATACCAATAATCTGAATAGACTCACTGAAAACATTGCATTTTCACCAGATACGAGGAACCCCATCAACCATACCTTTTCTTCTCAATCAGTGGCAAAACTACCAGGTATGACAGAAGGTTCATCTCTGATTGAAGACTTCCCATTCCTGCCTGATCTAGGGCCCTTGAGAAGCAACTTGTCTTACTCTGATCTGTATGAAACAAGTAATCTGCCAGTTTTATCTGGCCATTCTCCTATAAATCGTGATGCAACACTTAGTAAAGTGGCAGATCGTACAGTAATAAAAGACCAAGGAAAGCAAAACATCCTTGGGTATTCAGCATATGACTTCAACCAAGAGACTAACTAAAAGTTAACAATGAAAATAACCTCAGTGGAAAATCACGGTAATAGAAAATTATTTTTTTTCTTAGATTGTTTAAACACATTGACTAATTTTATTGCTCTATGTTTTTTATTAATGCCAGGTAATATATTTTACTTTGTATTCCATTTTATCATCATATGCAACTCAATATTTCAGTGCACAGGTAAAACAAAAACCTTTTAACTAGTAATGCAATAACCCATTTCTTAGTTACCAATGTTAATAAAAATGGTACAGATTCCATGTTTTCCTTTTATGTTATGTATTTCCAAAAATGTAACTTCATAGAAGCACAGAAGCCATGTACAGGCACAAACATCAATCATATCTGAGAAGGTAATGAATATCCTTTTATCCAGAATGGTTTATTCAAGATTGTCCTGACAATGGAAGGCTTTTCGTGATACCTTATCAATTCCCATGTATGAAAAAAATGGGATAAGTATATCTATTCAACGTTTGGCAGTTGCAAAATATAACAAAAAGTATTATGATGCTAATTTTCTAAATTATGATTCATCTATAACTGCAGAACATATAAAAGACCAAATAATACAATGTTGAAAAATGTGAAAATATGCTATCCAAACAAGGTTCTATTCCTTCCCTGTCTTTAGCACAACTGCCACTCCATGTGATAGCTACCACATCCAAAAGGTGTAAAACACATTTCAGGTGTGATATGCTGTACGTGTGGTATTCGTCAAAATTACATAAATAATTCTACTGACAAACATAATGTTTAATATATAATACTTAAATACTCTGTGTCACTTACATAACATTTCACTAGGAATGAAAAGAAGGTAAAGACGGTAATGCATACCATGATGTGAACATCAACACAAGTAATATGTAAATTCTTATTCCTCACGAGTTTTCTATTGGCATGGCGTGGTGATCCATGCTGGTTCTTCAGCAACACCTGCCCAAGTTAATGGTTTCTCAAGTGTCACGTCATATAAACATCGCTCTGTTACTCACAGTCCCGGGAACCTAGACCTATTTCTGAATGGAGCTTGGCACTATTTTTTTTCCTGTGAATGCCACTATGCATTTAAGTCTGTACTAAGTTCTGCACAGCAAAACAATACAGAACTCCATCTGTACTTCTTGCCAGAAGCCTGTGAGTGCAAAGCAACAACAGCAAAGATCACCACAAGTTACAGGCTCCCTCAGTGGGCATGGCACAAAGCCCAACTGAGGGATTTACCTGCCTCATCCTCCCCCTCCCATGGGTGGGGGAGCAGCACCGCCTCCTCGGTGGATCCTTCCCATTCTTCTTGGTGGAGGTCCTGGAGGTCTGTAAAGCAATTCAATAGAATTAAACTATGTAGGAGACTGAAGTATTAAATCAACTTAAAAATAACAATTCAATAAAAATGGTTGTCTAATATATCAAATCAAAGTGTTTATCCGAAATATAATACTAGAAATTACATACTTCATATACATTACACATTTACTTACGGTCCTCTGCCAGGAGCACCATAGCTGCTTGTGTAGCCATCACCGCGCTTTGTTAAGTCTGGGTTGATTAAGGTCTGGAAACTGATCAAATACATAAATATAAGTGGTTGTGTCATAAAGAGGGGGAGAGAGAGAGAGGGAGAGGGAGAGAGAGAGAGAGGGANACTCTCTCTCATCTCCTTCTCTCACTCTCTCTCTTCTCATTCTCCTTCTCTCACTCTCTCTCTCTCTCATTCTCATTCTCTCACTCTCTCTCATTCTCATTCTCTCACTCTCTCTCATTCTCATTCTCTCACTCTCTCATTCTCATTCTCTCACTCTCTCTCATTCTCATTCTCTCACTCTCTCTCATTCTCATTCTCTCACTCTCTCTCATTCTCATTCTCTCACTCTCTCTCATTCTCATTCTCTCACTCTCTCTCATTCTCATTCTCTCACTCTCTCTCATTCTCATTCTCTCACTCTCTCATTAATTCTCATTCTCTCACTCTCTCATTCTCATTCTCTTAATCTCTCTCATTCATTCTCATGCTCTCACTCTCTCATTCATTCTCATTCTCTCACTCTCTCTCTCATTCATTCTCATTCTCTCACTCTCTCATTCATTCTCATTCTTTCACTCTCTCTCTCATTCATTCTCATTCTCTCTCACACTCTCTCATTCATTCTCATTCTCTCTCTCTCTCTCCCATTCTCATTCTCTCACTCTCTCTCATTCTGATTCCCATTCTCTCACACACACTTTCTCTCTCTCATTCTCATTATCTCACTCTCTTTCATTCATTCTCATTCTATCACACTCTCTCATTCTCTCACTCTCTCTCTCCCATTCTCATTCTCTCTCTCCCATTCTCATTCTCTTACTCTCTCTCTCCCATTCTCATTCTCTCTCTCACACTCTCTCTCTCTCTCTCTCATTCATTCTCATTTTATCACTCTCTCTCATTCATTCTCATTTTATCACTCTCTCTCATTCATTCTCATTTTATCACTCACTCTCATTCATTCTCATTCTCTCTCACTCTCTCTCTCATTCATTCTCATTCTATCACTCTCTCTCATTCTCTCACTCTCTCCATTCTCATTCTCTCTTTCTCCATTCTCATTCTCTCACTTTCTCCCATTCTCATTCTCTCACTTTCTCCCATTCTCATTCTCTCACTCTCTCTCTCCCATCCTCATTCTCTCACTCTCTCTCTCCCATCCTCATTCTCTCACTCTCTCTCTCCCATCCTCATTCTCTCACTCTCTCTCTCCCATCCTCATTCTCTCACTCTTCTCTTCTCCATTCTCATTCTCTCACTCTTTCTCTCTCTCTTTCTCATTCTCTCACTCTTTCTCTCTCTCTTTCTCATTCTCTCACTCTTTCTCTCTCTCTTTCTCATTCTCTCACTCTTTCTCTCTCTCTTTCTCATTCTCTCTCACTCTCTTTCTCATTCCCTCACTCTCTCTTTCTGATTCCTCACTCTCTCTCTTATTCTCATTCCCTCACTCTCTCTCTCTTATTCTCATTCCCCACTCTCTTTCTTATTCTCATTCCCTCACTCTCTCTCTCTTATTCTCATTCCCTCACTCTCTCTCTCTTATTCTCATTCCCTCACTCTCTCTCTCTTATTCTCATTCCCTCACTCTCTCTCTCTCTTTCTCTCTCTCTCATTCTCATTCCCTCACTCTCTCTCTCTTTCTCATTCTCTCACTCTCTCTCATTCTCATACTCTCACTCTCTTTTTCTCTCATTCTCATTCTCTCACTCTCTTTTTCTCTCATTCTCATTCTCATTCTCTCACTCTCTCTCATTCTCATACTCTCACTCTCTTTTTCTCTCATTCTCATTCTCTCACTCTCTTTTTCTCTCATTCTCATTCTCTCACTCTCTCTCTCCCATTCTCATTCTCTCACTCTCTCTCTCCCATTCTCATTCTCTCACTCTCTCTCTCCCATTCTCATTCTCTCACTCTCTCTCTCCCATTCTCATTCTCTCACTCTCTCTCTCTCCATTCTCATTCTCTCACTCTCTCTCTCTCCCATTCTCATTCTCTCACTCTCTCTCTCTCCCATTCTCATTCTCTCACTCTCTCTCTCTCCCATTCTCATTCTCTCACTCCTCTCTCTCCCATTCTCATTCTCTCACTCTCTCTTCTCCCATTCTCATTCTCTCACTTCCTCTCTCTCTCCCATTCTCATTCTCTCACTCTCTCTCTCTCCATTCCATTCTCTCACTCTCTCTCTCCCATTCTCATTCTCTTCACTCTCTCTCTCTCCCATTCTCATTCTCTCACTCTCTCTCTCTCCCATTCTCATTCTCTCACTCTCTCTCTCTCCATTCTCATTCTCTCACTCCTCTCTCTCCATTCTCATTCTCTCACTCTCTCTCTCCCATTCTCATTCTCTCACTCTCTCTCTCTCCCATTCTCATTCTCTCACTTCTCTCTCTCCCATTCTCATTCTCTCACTCTCTCTTCCCATTCTCATTCTCTCACTCTCTCTCCCATTCTCATTCTCTCACTCTCTCTTTCCCATTCTCATTCTCTCTCACTCTCTCTCTCTCTCCCCTTCTAATTCTGTCACTCTCTCATTCTCATTCTCTCAGTCTCTCTCTCCTCTCTTTCTCTCTCTTCTCTCTCTCTTCTCTCTCTCTCTCTCTCTCTCTCTCTCTCTCTCTCTCTCTCTCTTCTCTCTCTCTCTCTCTCATTCTCTCATCTCTCTTTCTCATTCCTCACTCTCTCTTTCTCATTCTCTCACTCTCTCTTTCTCTTCCTCACTCTCTCTTTCTCATTCTCTCACTCTCTCTTTCTCATTCTCTCACTCTCTCTTTCTCATTCTCTCACTCTCTCTCTTTCTCATTCTCTCACTCTCTCTCTTTCTCATTCTCTCACTCTCTCTCTTTCTCATTTCTCTCACTCTCTCTTTCTCATTCTCTCACTCTCTCTCTTTCTCATTTCTCTCACTCTCTCTCTTTCTCATTCTCTCACTCTCTCTCTTTCTCATTCTCTCACTCTCTCTCTTTCTCATTCTCTCTCACTCTCTTCTTTCTCATTCTCTCACTCTCTTCTTTCTCATTCTCTCACTCTCTCTCTTTCTCATTTCTCACTCTCTCTCTTTCTCATTCTCTCACTCTCTCTCTTCTCATTCTCTCACTCTCTCTCTTTCTCATTCTCTCACTCTCTCTCTTTCTCATTCTCTCACTCTCTCTCTTTCTCATTCTCTCACTCTCTCTCTTCTCATTCTCTCACTCTCTCTCTTTCTCATTCTCTCATCTCTCTCTTTCTCATTCTCTCACTCTCTCTCTTTCTCATTTCTCTCACTCTCTCTCTTTCTCATTCTCTCACTCTCTCTCTTTCTCATTCTCTCACTCTCTCTCTTTCTCATTCTCTCACTCTCTCTCTTTCTCATTCTCTCACTCTCTCTCTTCTCATTCTCTCACTCTCTCTCTTTCTCATTCTCTCACTCTCTCTCTTTCTCATTCTCTCACTCTCTCTCTTTCTCATTCTCTCACTCTCTCTCTTTCTCATTCTCTCACTCTCTCTCTTTCTCATTCTCTCACTCTTCTCTTTCTCATTCTCTCACTCTCTCTCTTTCTCATTTCTCACTCTCTCTTTCTCATTTCTCACTCTCTCTCTTTCTCATTCTCTCACTCTCTCTCTTTCTCATTCTCTCACTCTCTCTCTTTCTCATTCTCTCACTTCTCTCTTTCTCATTCTCTCACTCTCTCTCTTTCTCATTCTCTCACTCTCTCTCTTTCTCATTCTCTCACTCTCTCTCTTTCTCATTCTCTCACTCTCTCTCTTTCTCATTCTCTCACTCTCTCTCTTTCATTCTCTCACTCTCTCTCTTTCTCATTCTCTCACTTCTCTCATTCTCATTCTCTCACTCTCTCTTCATTTCTCATTCTCTCACTCTCTCTCTCATTCTCATCTCTCACTCTCTCTCTCATTCTCCTTTCACTCTCTCTCTCTCTCATTCTCCTTCTCTCACTCTCTTCATTCCCCTTGTCTCAGTCTCTCTCATTCTCATTCTCTCACTTTCTCCCATTCTCCTTCTTTCACTCTCTCTCTCCTTCTCTTTCTCTCACTCTCTCCCATTTTCATTTTTTCTCTCATTCTCTCACTCTCTCTCTCATTCTCATTCTCTCACTCTCTGTCTCATTCTCATTCTCTCACTCTCTGTCTCATTCTCATTCTCTCACTCTCTGTCTCATTCTCATTCTCTTACTCTCTCCATTTTCATTTTTTTCTCATTCTCTCACTCTCTCTCTCATTCTCATTCTTCTCTCTCTTCTCTATTTCATTCTCTCTCTCTCTCTCTCATTCTCATTCTCTCACTCTCTCTCTCTCTCATTCTCTCACTCTCTCTCTCATTCTCATTCTCTTCACTCTCTCTCTCATTCTCATTCTCTCACTCTCTCTCTCATTCTCATTCTCTCACTCTCTCTCTCATTCTCATTCTCTCACTCCTCTCTCATTCTCATTCTCTCACTCTCTCTCTCATTCTCATTCTCTCACTCTCTCTCTCATTCTCATTCTCTCACTCTCTCTCTCATTCTCATTCTCTCACTCTCTCTCATTCTCATTCTCTCACTCTCTCTCTCATTCTCATTTCTCACTCTTCTCATCTCTTCTCTCTCTCATTCTCATTCTCTCACTCTCTCTCTCATTCTCATTCTCTCACTCTCTCTCTCATTCTCATTCTCTCACTCTCTCTCTCATTCTCATTCTCTCGTCTTACTTTCTCTCCCTCATTCTCATTCTCTCTGTCTTACTTTCTCTCCCTCATTCTCTTTCTCTCGTTTTTTTTCTCTCTTAATCTCACTCTCTCTTTCTTTCTCTTTCTCTTGTTTCTCCTTATTTTCTCTCTCATTCTCTCATTTTTTCTCTCAATCTCTTACTCTCTCACACTCTCTCTTCTTTCTTGTCTCTCCTCTCTTATTTTCTTCTCTCTTCTCTCTCTTCTCTCTTTTCTCTCTCACCCCTCTCTTTTTAAATAGATTCATATGAAATGAGAGTGTATGGCAAAAGTATAAGAAGGACAAATGTGAATTTGTGTGGGTGTCAGAAGAATGACAAATGATATTTTATAACATGTGACATCATGTCAAG